CTATCTGTCTACCTGTCATTTTAGACAGACATTCCACATTTTAGCCAGCTATCTGTCTACCTGTCATTTTAGACAGACATTCCACATTTTAGCCAGGCATCTGTCTACCTGTCATTTTAGACATTCCACATTTTAAGCAGATACAAAATTTCATTTGACAGGCAAAATTCCTACAAACCTGTCCAACTTCCAAAAATTCGCTATATATATACTAAAAGTCTTACATTTTTGGACAGGTTTTGTGTATCATATGTATATTGGAACACTGTTTCTTGAATACAGTTTACAGACAATTTTTAGCCACTACTCAACATTTTGCTGATTTAAATGTGAGGGGGGGGGGGTCAATATATTTACTGTTTTAGGAACACATTGATAACATTAAAGTGAGAGGGGTGTCGCCTGCACACACATGGGAATTGAGTCCAAAGCGATGATAACAACATGTGCTAAAACACAAAGGCTCATGGGTAGATGCTTGTTTGACACACAATGACACGCTATGGCCATCAGACGCATGGACAGGTGACGTCTCTCTCGCTTTAACTTCTGTATTTTCAACAATTTCATAAGAATAATAAAATAAAATAGAATAGAATAGAAAACACATGTAGGTGAAAGCCTAAAACTAATGGTACAATGTATGTAAAAGAAGCATTCATATTTACCATATTCCAAATAGTTAATTTAAAAAAAAAGTATTGTCGTGAATTAGTATCTTTGGTGTTGATGTCACTATTTTAAATTTAGTACATTGACCTATCAGATCATCAAATAGCCCTTTGGATATCAAGTTGGATATCAAAAATATCCAATGGCCTTTAACACATGGAACAGACATGATACATGGGTAGAAAGATGTGTTGATAGTATTAATTTTTTTTATAATGCAATGGTGTCTTGGTTATTCAGGGCATAGACATTAAACCAGTATTTACAAGACAAGATACAGTGAGCCATCCAGAAGAGTTGCCTGGTAAATATCCCTACACTAGAGGACCATATCCTACGATGTATACACAAAGACCCTGGACCATCAGACAGGTATGGCATTACTGTAGCCTCTATTAAATTTTATATATTATTGAATTTAAAGTGCATTTCAGAAAATGAATTTTCATGATTACTGCGACTCCCTGTCTTAGGACTCCAGTGAAGTGTTCACTGTGACTCCTTGTCTCAAGACTCGAGTGAAGTGTTCACTGATACTCCTTGTCTCAAGACTCCATTGAAGTGTTCACTGATACTCCTTGTGACTCCTTGTCTCAAGACTCCAGTGAAGTGTTCACTGTGACTTCTTGTCTCAAAACTCCAGTGAAGTGTTCACTGTGACTCCTTGTCTCAAGATTCCAGTAAAGTGTTCACTTCGACTCCTTGTCTCAAGACTCCAGTGAAGTGTTTACTTTAACTCTTTGTCTCAAGACACCAGTGAAGTGTTCTCTGTGACTTCTTCTCTCAAGGCTCCAGTGAAGTGTTCACTGTGACTCCTTGTCTCAAGACACCAGTGAAGTGTTCACTGTGACTCCTTGTCTCAAGACTCCAGTGAAGTACAGTCATCTGACCACAGATGTCATGTGACCAGTCATCTGGCATACAAGTGGTAATAATATAAATGTTCTTTGTGCACTTAGGTATTTTTTTTCAGCTATCTTTCACTTACTTGAGTGAAGACTATATATAATTATCAATGTATTATTGTGTTTGCTTACAGTATGCTGGCTTCAGTACTGTGGAAGAAAGTAATAAGTTCTACAGAGATAATATCAAAGCAGGACAGCAAGGATTGAGTGTAGCATTTGATCTAGCTACACACAGAGGGTGAGTGTCTGTCACAATGTTGTTATCACCATGTTTCTGTTATTAGGATAAATGTCAGTTGGTTAAGGTAGAGATGCAGTTTACCTGACAGGTATTTTAATTAGGAAACCAAGATAACCTCCCTTGTCCACAAAACTATATATTTTCGGAAAGCTTATTGTATGAATTTTAAAGTTTTGTTAGTATTTTATTTTTATGGACACTGTAGTTTGAAATATGCACAAAAATGTGCTTTTTTGGTCAAAAGTGATTTGAAAAAAATTAGCTTCTGAACCATGCTTCTGTTTCCTGTCAAAATTGGTTCATGGGTACATATGTTTACTATGAAGAAAGTGCCGTCTTGAAAACTGTCTACCAGTTGTCAATTTTGTAGGGCAGCAGCTCAAATTTCACTACTTCAAGTTTATGCATAAATTAACACCCAGGCTAGTTGTCTGAACGATTGCTGTAACACTATTCAACTAAAAACAATGCCCCGACGGCGTTTTGAATATAAACACATTTGTGAAAATTTCAAAACAAAAGGTCAAAGCGTCTAGGAGCTATTATTTTTCAAAGTTCTGAAATGTGCACTAAAAAGAAGCTGAGATAATTGCTAATTTGCATAACAAATCACTCAGTAAGAAGTTTGCTAATGCTCATAATTAAAATTGCTGTTACAGTTTCAAATTTAAATGTATTATCGTTTTCTAAAAAGTTAAATACAGTGCATAATATGGAGATCCCGTCATTTCTATTTTTCACCAGGTTTTTTTTTTTATTATTTATGTACAGCCTTGCTAAATTTTGCTAAGCATTCAAAAGAGATAATTTTGCACCTGTTATCTATATTTTAAAATGTTTTTTTTAAGTATGTTCCACTATTCACAATTCTACAAAATTTCAACAGTCTATAGCCAAGACTTTTTGGATAATAAAAAGCAAAAAAAAAAATTCATTCCAAAGTGCCCACGAACCTGCATCTCTACCTTAATTTATGAATTTTCTACATATTAAAAAATTTACTATTATTTTTGGTTGTAACTTGCGTTCCATTTCATGACATTATCTGGATACCGGAGTTAACACTGTACCAGTCTGGCACTCCCTTGCTTCCTACCAGAGATTCATACCCGCGAGGTACAACCTCACACTCAACTCAAGCCACAGATGAAGTGACGTTTTCCAGGAAAGAAATCAGTGTTATTTTGAAAACCAGACCAGGGCCCCATAATAAGGACAGTTTTGATTTGACCCCTAATGGGAGGAAATACTACTCTGTTCTATAGTAGCCTTTAGGCAAAAAGACAAGAGGATCCAATCCATTACACAATACCAAATAAGGGCATGGAACTTTCATAACTACTCATGGTGACATGGATGCTATGACATTTACATTCACATTTTACTTGTCAATGATTTGATTAGGAAGCTTAGTTCAACTTTTTTTTTCATTACATATTTTTATACTTCATTATTTACAGCTATGATTCTGATAACCCTCGCGTCCATGGTGATGTGGGGATGGCTGGTGTAGCTATTGACTCTGTAGTTGATATGAAGGTATGTAATATTGTATCATACTTTAGAAAGAATATTTAAGTGAACAATTTGTTATTTCTGGAAGCACAGTACACACGTGTCATTTGAAAGACAGTGGAAATTAGCATTTCAATATCCGAAGCCTCTTATCTCACTGTTTTCTTTCAAAATTGCCATGTGACATTTAGGTGTATCCATAAAAACTACATCTGCTTCAGTTTTACTTTAAACAAATTTTTATGAATTTTCAAAAATCTTAGAATGCCATTATCACTAAAGTTACAATTGTACATCATTCTTTATTCAGCTGCTGTTTGATGGAATCCCTCTGGAGAAGATGTCTGTTTCCATGACGATGAATGGTGCCGTTCTACCTATAATGGCAATGTACATTGTGGCTGCGGAAGAACAGGTAATGTGGTTGCATAACATCCCTCCTGATGCATCTTTTAATTTGCTGTGTTTTGGTGAGAAGGGCATTGTGGGTACTGATGTTAATGTATGCAAAATAATGTTTTGTATCTTTTGTTAGGGAGCTAAGCAAGAGCAGTTGACTGGGACAATACAAAATGATATTTTGAAAGAATTCATGGTCAGAAATACTTATATTTATCCACCAGCACCATCAATGAAAATTGTCTCCGATATCTTTGATATTCATCACATGTGAGTAAACACAGTTCACTCTGAGGAGATTGCAATAGATTTATGACCTACTGTAGAATGCTTTATTTTCGCTTTGAATGGAATGCTTCAGGGAAAATAAAATCCAGCGAATATACTTTTTTTCTAATGTCTCGCATTCAACTAGTCAAATATCAGTGAAAATAAAGTATTTCACAGTATTTGATAGTGTGAATATATTCAGGCTTAGTAGAAATGTTTGCCTGAATGAATGATGCTTGCGGTATTTCCATAGTCTGAATCTTGGTAACTCTGTAATTGATGGAAATCAATTATGTTGAGATGTGGTAGATTTGCTGATTAATGCATCCAGAAGTATGTTTTCATAAAACAAGCAATGATTTTGTTCCCTCTGCAGTCCAGTTGACTCCTCCTCTCACAGCCATTGTTTCGATTTTCCATTCTTATTTGCAAAGTGTGTAAATACATTTTGTGTTTTTAATGCGACGATAACACCCACTGTGTTCTGTGACGCTATTGAAGTGTATGAACAGGATCTCTTTCAAGCATTAGTAACTCGCAATGGTTTGATTCTTGTTAGATCATCCTCGTATATCACTGTACATGGTTATAAAAGTTGTATACCCTCCTTTTATAAATTCTTGTTATCATCCAATATGACAGTCTCCAAAATGTCATGGTAACCACTACCTGTTCTTCAAACAATAAATGACAATATTTCATATAGCAGTTATTTCCATTCTATTTATTGTTTTGTTTATACTTGACAGAACATGCCAAAGTACAATTCTATATCTATTTCTGGCTATCATATGCAAGAAGCAGGTGCTGATGCTGTATTAGAATTAGCATTCACATTGGCTGATGGCATCGAATATTGCAGAACAGGTGAGACAGCTGACCTCCTTGGAAAATTCAGTTTCATCTACCGTAAACAATAAAGTCTGGATTTTGATCTTTGTTTATCATATGAGGCACTATGAGAGTAAAAAGTCTACAAATGTGTATGCAGGGCTTTATCACTGGAATAGTGTTAACTAAATATAATGTTGCATTGAGTTCCTTAACTTAATATCTAGAGTCCAATCTACTTATGAAGTGAAACAATTTTGGGAAAGTATCAACTGCAGCAATGCTATATCTTCATTCATTTATTGTATGGGGTAGTTATTTTATGTGGGCATCTACATGCATACTAACAACTGAATAAAATACAACTCTGTAGTTCAGTGTTGATACATGATTATATTTATTATTGTGTATTTGTTTTTGCAGGTTTAACAGCTGGTATGGATATTGATGAATTTGCTCCAAGGTTGTCATTCTTCTGGGGAATTGGAATGAACTTCTACATGGAAATCGCTAAATTACGAGCAGCAAGGCGATTGTGGGCACGACTAATAAAAGAGCAATTTAAGCCCAAGAAAGCAAAGTCTATGTTATTGCGTTGCCATAGCCAGACATCTGGATGGTCACTTACTGAACAGGTGATGATTTGGATGCCACTCAAATATAAAATGTTACTGATAAAAATGCACAGTATATATTAATGCATCTCATTATTCATTGTGTTGTCCTAGGATCCCTACAATAACATTATACGAACAACTATAGAAGGCATGGCTGCTGTGTTTGGTGGAACTCAGTCCTTACATACAAACTCATTTGATGAGGCACTTGGATTACCAACAGTGAAAAGCGCTCGTGTCGCCAGGAACACTCAGATCATAATACAGGAAGAGAGTGGTATTACAAAGGTGAGTGATTATGAAATGCAGAACTGAGCAAGGTATTGGAAATTACATTAAAAATCTTGGTGTTACAAACTCCAATTTTTTTCAATCTTTGATATTAACCAGTTTGGGATCTTGATATATTTTTCAAGATATTCATTAAATTTCACCTAAAATTGTCTTCTTGTGGTTACTCTAACAATTTTTGGTTATTCTGGTCATCTTCAAACTTGAGAATCTTATCATTATAAATCCCAACCAAGTGCAATTTTTGTCTCTGCTGTCATCAAATATGCAAACATGCTTGGATACGTTATATTTAAGTACCATGGGTGGACCTCTATCAGATTTGTTCATTTGGTGTCGATATCATCAACTCTCTATTTTTGCCAAATAATGATATTTTGGAATTCTTCTTGAACACTGCTGACCCGATTGCCTTGATATTTGAGGTGTACATTTTCGTTTTTGAACAATTTGTTTGATGAAATTAAGTTCACATGTTCTTTTAGGACAGTGGAGCTATTTCGACTTGCAAGTTGCTATGTTATGTAATTGTGATGACTTTTTAGCCTGTATTTTCTGTGCAAAATGCTTACGGTATATATTTTTGAATTGTTTCAAGACTTTTATACTCTGTCGTGCAAAGAAAGTATATTGCATCGTTAATTTCTTATCCATACATTTGTTATTTAATCTAGATTCTCAATAGATAAGGTTGTAATAGTTACACTGTTTTAACCTTTTCACCACCAGACTTTCTCGTCCAAATGTTCTGCACTATTATATTCTTTAATATTTCTGGAAATGAACCCTAATTTCGGAGCCAACAGTTAAAATTTGAGTAAATTTTAAGTTTTTACTGAAAAAATGTGGCTATTTTTGTCACAATCTTCTAAAGGAAAGCACAGACTATTAGTGGGACTATTTTGTAATTTGTGATGAAAAGACGGAACTGGTGGTGAAAAGATTGAAATTTGAGAAGTCATGATACATTTGATGGTTTAGTTGTATACAGGTGAAAACAAAATATTGATTGTTTCCACAGGTAGCAGATCCTTGGGGTGGTTCCTATATGATGGAATGTTTAACAGACGAACTGTGTGATGCCGCTATGAAAGTAATTAATGAGGTATGTTCGAAGATGCTAGGGAGTGGTGCACTTTGAAAAGTGTCTTCTTAAGTTAATCTTTATTCAGAAAAAGCATGTTGTGTATTTGCTTTTTTGACCACCATTTTCACATCAAGTTCAGCCAATTTATTTTAGAATACTTTTAGTTTTTTGATGCAAACTCAAATTTGCGTTCTTTCTAAGCTTTCTTTCTTTGATTTGAATATTTTTGTAATGAGATTATTCAATACTAGTCATGTGTTCTTATTAATACATAAATATCATATATAGAATACTATTACAGATGCACTTTCAACCAGTGCTTTATTGAAGACATTGGGCTCATGATCTTAATACCGTATTTATCCGGGTAAGAGCACATGCCTGGGCAAACACCCGCCCCCAGATTTTGATACAATAAAGGAATTGAGGTCATGTCTGGGCATAGGCCCAGGGGGTCTTTTTCTACACTTGTAATAAAAAAAATGTTCAGGACCCTGGGCTCTTACCTGGATAAATATGGTAAAATTTTTAATAACCATATACTGTGACTGTATGATGTGACCTCATTGAAAAAAGCACAACTTTACCCACAATCCTTTGCTGAAGTATCAAGATGGCGGACTACATAATACTGATGAAAAGTTGAATATCTAGAGAATGAAAAAGTGATATAAAAAAACTAAATTGCCTTCTCCTACATTTATGGATCTCTTTCACCTGGGAGCATTATGTTGTTTTCCCAGGACATCCCCTATAAACTTATTATCAGTGATAAGATCTGAACACAGGAGTGGAAACACTTATAATCTATACAAAGACGAGGTTATTTTTTTTAACTGCATGTGTGCATACATTATTATTATTGTAAGATTGCTCTGCTAAAACATGCAATGGAGTTATTTTGCCCACTTGTTTGGCTTAATTGAATTCATTGTATGTGCACGATAGGTTGAAGAGCTGGGTGGTATGGCTGCAGCCGTAGCTGCTGGAATGCCAAAACTCAGGATAGAAGAATGTGCAGCTAAAAAACAAGCTAGAATTGATTCCAAAAAAGGTGAGAGATATATTTTTTTTTCAAATTATTCTGGTAGTCAATCTCAGTATTTTATAATTAAATGCATTTATTTTAGAGAACTACTACCATACTATGCCTTATCTGTTTTCAACCTAATGAAAGGAGTTCTTACAATGGTGATATTCAAGCTGCCGAAACACAAAGTACAGATGAGAAGAACCTGTAGGAATTGAGCCTAATCTTCTAGTTACTTAATGTGACCCTTTAACCCAAACTCAAATGAAACTCCATGCTGTGTATTACTTAATGTGACCCTTTAACCCAAACTCAAATGAAACTCCATGCTGTGTATTACTTAATGTGACCCTTTAACCCAAACTCAAATGAAACTCCATGCTGTGTATTACTTAATGTGACCCTTTAACCCAAACTCAAATGAAACTCCATGCTGTGTATTACTTAATGTGACCCTTTAACCCAAACTCAAATGAAACTCCATGCTGTGTATTACTTAATGTGACCCTTTAACCCAAACTCAAATGAAACTCCATGCTGTGTATTACTTAATGTGACGCTTTAACCCAAACTCAAATGAAACTCCATGCTGTGTATTACTTAATGTGACCCTTCAACCCAAACTCAAATGAAACTCCATGCTGTGTATTCACAGAGATAATCGTTGGTGTTAATAAATACAAACTTGACAAAGAAGATCCCTTAGATGTGTTGTCTGTGGACAATACTAAAGTGAGAGAAGAACAGATTGCTCGGTTGAAGGAGATGAAGGCTACGAGAGACACTAAAGCAGTAAGTAACATACAAGTATTTGTATGCAGCTTATGGTGTGCTTTTGAACATAGTCTTTGTATATACTGTTAGTATGTACACTAAATTCTACATTGAGTGGCTCATGAGTACATGTTTCGTCTTTGCAAACTGTTGTGTTGCATGAACCCATGTCTTGTATTTAACACAATCTTTTGTAATATAAACAAATATTTTCATAAATAGCCATGTATAAATTTTCCTGGTTGCTCATCTACTTTTCAGTGAGTGTTATTGTATGCTGAGTGAACGAGAGGATTGATCTTGATCAATCGGCATTGATGTATTTCTGGTTTTCGTACCTTTTGAATGTTTACAAAATGTTTAATTAAGTATGGAACAAGTATGTAGAATCATAATCACACAATAAAGCAAAACAAACTATGATTTATGATATCTTGGTACATATGAGAGAAAACAACCAATAATTTAACATGGTTATAACCAGGCATTCAGGGAACTTCAAACTCGTCTATTAAGCACAGTCATTTGTAGCAGTGATGTGTAAGATATATTATTGATTGGGGTTGATTGTTGCTATCAATTATACATACTCTAGAATCATTTGTCTTGTTTTTGACGTAGCATACTCGGATATTATTCCAATTAATGTACTTTGGCACATTTCTGAATTTTGAGTTAATGATCTTTTCCTTACCAGTAGACCTATGATGTAATATTTGCATATATTTCATTGGGTCCAGATAATTGCATACTGGCTAATTGCTTTAAAGTATTTGCCAGGAGTAGAGCAATTCCAAGAAAATTTAGTGATAATTAAAAACTGCTTTCAAAATTTTTCAAAATGCTTTTATAACTACTAGTTAATAAAAATTTTAAAAATATTTGAATAAACTATGTTTTACAAAATGTTTTATAATCTGAAACTAAAGTAAATTGGCCTATTTGGCAGATTTGCTAAAAAACATTATCCTATTTGTATACTGGCAGAAGAAATGCTGCAATGGAACACACCCACTTATTGTGTATTATGCCACGGTATCGCGCATTTGCAAAAATTGAAATCTGATGTACAGATTATGGTGTACATTTAGATGAGATAACTAAAGATATTTGTTATATAGGCTGAAGCTGCATTGGCTGCAATCACCGAGTGCTGTCGTAGTGGTGATGGTAACCTATTGGATCTCTCAATAAAGGTACAGTTCAGTTACTGTTGTCTATTAGTTTGTCAGACATAGTTAGTTCGTTAATGTTATGTTGGTGCAATTTTGTTGAAAGTTGGTACAGAAACAAAGTGCATGTCAATTTGTTTGGCATTTTGTTGCATTTTATTAACTGGTGGACATTTTTGTTCAAAAAAAACAACATTCTCAGCCATGTTGATTTTATTCAAACTTAGCATTAGCGTCATTCTCATGTTTTGTAATTTGATTCAAAATGGCAGATAGGTGGCCATTTAGTTTAATTTTCAATTATCAATTCTCATACTTGTTTGGATAAAATTTTTAAAAAGTTGATGGGACAATAATTATATATTCATGTATGCACATTGATTTGAATTTGATTAAATTTGATTGGCTGTCGGTTAAACGAATAAAAAAATGTTCAGCCAATCACAGTTGTAGGTATTATTCTTTGGGGAATTGTATAAAATGTTATACATGTGTATCTCAATGGTTTGATTATACCAAAAAAAATGGAATTACTGATGTTTGTCTACTTTAGGCTGCTAGAGCTCGTTGTTCAGTCGGTGAGATATCCCAAGCTATGGAAACAGTTTTTGGAAGACATAAAGCAACAGATAGAATGGCTAGTGGTGTCTACAAGGGTGAATATGGTGAAACTGATGATCTTGGAAAATGTATTAAGAAAATTGATGTAAGTGAATGGAAAGTATATTATTTAGTATATAATGTACTACTCAAAACTTAAATGTTTTTGGGGTAATGTTTCGCACATTTTTTCAAAATTTTTATTTCTCATTGACCTCGATTAAAATTAAGAAAACAATTATGAAGGTTTATATTGTTATAAGCAACAAAGTTTAAGTTAGCATTAAGGAATAATAATCACTTTCATAAGATGTCCATTTTTTTTTCTCTGAAACCATGCAAAGTGTATCCATTTGTAAATTTATTGGCCGTTTTCACCAAATATTATTGCTTCATATGAATAACCATAATATTTGCTGTATAATTTGTTGATAGTATGTGCCAATATATAATGTCACATTAGTTAACAATGTTGGATTATCTTACAATAAATTCACTGTTACTTGTATCTTACTGAAATCAAATACCCCTATATATTTTTTTGAATACTTGTGTTATGTAGGTATTTGCTGAAAATGAGGGTCGTCGTCCAAGAATCTTGGTAGCCAAAATGGGACAGGATGGACATGATCGTGGTGCTAAGGTCATTGCCACAGGCTTTGCTGATGTTGGCTTTGATGTAGACATTGGACCTTTATTCCAGGTTTGTTCCAAACTACCAGCATGTGTTAGCAATTAGGGATGTTGAATACAGTTTCTCCAAAACATTGAGAATTTTCTCATTTTTAGTACACTGAGAGATTGATACTAAAGTATCAATAAAAAAATGAGGGTCACTTAGCTAGTCCCTGAGAAAATCGAATGTGTATATTACACAGTTAATACAAAGGCTCTAAAGAATGAGCAAGAATTTTGAAACATCTTTGATAGAATACAGTGTGTCTGTTCATAATCTCCATAATTTACAAACATGGCAATCTAAACTTCATAATAATATAAATATGACTTATTGACTCTATTTATTTGTTTGCTTCTTCTTTGTTAGACTCCAAGGGAAGTTGCCCAACAAGCTGTGGATGCTGATGTTCATGCCGTAGGTGTCAGTACGCAGGCCGCGGGTCATAAATCCCTGGTGCCAGAATTAGTCAAAGAATTAAAGGAACTTGGTAGACCGTAAGTTTTTGCACTATATTATTCTCCAAAAAGTGGAAGCAAGTTAGGCAAGTTATGCTTTGCACACTTGTAATTGGCTAAAAGTTCTCAGTTCACCTGCTTTTTGTGAATGAGGGTATTTGCATACTTGCGTACGTGTGTGTGCGTTTGCGTATAGTATACGATGAATGTCTTCTATTATGAGCACAGGCGGGTGTGACAATAGTCATTTTAAAAGGTAAAGATGGATGGACTGTATACCATTTAATTTTCAACAGTTCTATTATTTAAAGATTTTTGATCTAACAATATTTCCTGAGAGTCACTGTGACTTTTAATATTGTACACCAAGAGCATTCCTAGTGCTTTATTAGAATCTTTAGACTATTATGTGATTATCTGAATTTACACAAAAAGTATAATAATAATATAATAATTTCAGCACTTCAGAACAATCATTTCAGATTATATGATTGTATATTAGAATTTCATTTTGATGTATTTGAATAAAATTACAATTTGTTCCAAAATACTGTGTACCACAGTTATTCGAATCCTTAGTTTAGTTTCAATGCTACCATCTTCTGGTATACAGTATTTATACACATTGTAAAGTAGTATAGCATTAATCTTTTGATTTAATGAGAGACACATTTTCAAGATTCAGCCTTATTGATTTTAAAATTTAACTGGGGTACTTCAGACAGTGATTCATAAAACACATCTTGCACTTGTACAAAATTGTAAACTTTATTGATATAAATATATTACACATGACATATTCTAGCATGAATACAGTGAGTTAAACTCAGTTTAGTCAAGTAGGTAATGGGACAATATTGTTATACAGTGTAAAATACACAGCTTATCATCATTCATTTATCTGTCATTTATTTCACAGAGATATTCTTGTGATATGTGGAGGAGTCATTCCACCCAAAGATTACGACTTTCTCTATGAAACTGGAGTTACAAGTATATTTGGACCTGGTACGTAACAGTTTTGTAAATACTAACAGATACTAAAATTAACTGACATTTATCTCAGTGGCATACACTACACTGATCTAGTGTTTAGCTTGATCTATACAGTTTCATCAAAAGTTTTAGGAATTTGTTGATACTTAGTCATTGTAATAAACAATGTTATGTGAGAATTCCTGCAATGTCTAATTTTGAACCATAGGTAGTTTAAAACACAAATTGTGAATAAAATTCTTGTGGTATTCCAAAAAAAATTTTTTTTTTTACATGTATGCATATTGGTTGTCAAGGAGATTTAGACTTTTGTAGATATTTCACAAAATAAATAGATGGCCATAATAGTTTATTTTTATTCCAGCGTCAAACTCTCCACAATATTCAGAGTTAAAACAGAAAATAATAAGTTATATGAACACATAGTTAGGGTTAACCATAAGTACCTGCTCTAAAACAGCCCTTTGAGGTGTTAGTTATAGATTTATTTATACTTTAGTATATTTAATAGTATTAATATGTGTGTATTGTTAGAAATATGTTTTAAACATTCAGCTGTGATGAAACCTAAAATTTGTATAATTTTAAGGAGTTTAATACTGCTGAATGTTTGCAATTAATTCAACTTCTCAATTAATTTGCGAATATTTTAAAATATCGAAGTTCATGCTAATTTTATACAAATATATATATGTAGTATCCAAAAACAACTTTAAACACAATATTGATTAAACTCTATCAAAAATTCATATTCTACAACTTTTCCCTCCCTACGTTTTTAGGTACACGTATCCCAGAAGCTGCACTAAAAGTTGTTGAAGACATCAAAGACAGTATCAATAAGAGGGCTGCATCTTTGTAGAATAAAAAGTTAACAATACAGTAATTATTTTCACCATGACAGAAAAGGTTACCGGGGGTAATCCTATAGCTGACAATTCACAATTTAAAATTCAAGGAAATTTTTTTTTATCCATGTGATTTAAAAAAATATATATTTAATTTAGTTTGTAATTAGTATTCTGCATAATGTATTAGTAGCACTTCTATATTTATTGTACTACCGTTCTTTGAGAAAGGGTGTGTTTAGAACAAATCCAACCCTTATTTGCATTTTATCGAACATTGTCGCTTTATGAACACATTTAAGAATATGTTTATAATAAGGATAAACTTACTTTCCATTGTCTTTTCTTCACGTTCATGTGCAGTAAGGCATTGGTCAAATTACTATAGTCATTATGGAAATTGTTCAAGTATTTTACCTACCCTGTTTTTGTCGCATGGACAGATATCAGCATGACTCTGTGACAACTGTTAGTAAGACAGTTGACAGCATATTTCATAGAAATCTTTACGTGTATGCATGCATTCTGTGATTTGTTGAGGTGATCAGTCTTTTCGCAATAGCATTTACAGATTTTATATGATTTTTGCTTGTATTTTTTACATGAAGCATGATTTATATAATGTTTATAAAAAATATTTTGGCAGTACATTGATTATAACTGTATTATTAGCATTTAATAGTTTGTACTGTGATTTGATGAGTATCCAATCAAACAAAATGATTCTTGCACAACACCTGGTTCTAAATATTCATGACAACTCTTTCATTACATCAAATGTTATACATTTCCTAGATTAGTGCATCTTATTTTAGGTTATCCAGACAATGATTCATTCAGTGAGCAGGCAAAATCCAGGTCCATATTGCTGACTGGTGAATAGTGTAACTATTGAAATTGATCAGTTTCTCGGTATTCAAAGATTTCTATCAAAATATTGCAGATAATACAAATTTATAATAATACCATAAACAGAAATACAACTATTTTAAGATGAGTTTTATCAGATTTGGAACACTGATATACTAACAGCTGAAACCATTCAATAAATTAATGAACATCTTTCTTGTGATCTAGTCTAACTCAGTATATCTAGTTTCTCCAGTTTGAGTGTTCCATTTATATTACATGTAACGCAAACTTATATAGTGCTTTTACAAGTCAGATTCCGTCACAGATATTTTTTTCCGTCACAGATAGTTTTTTTGTGTGTATATGATAATGTGACCATTTTCTGAGAGATAACTCTGTGCTATTCATCAGAGCAATATTCTAGAATAAAATGTATTTGTTAAAATTACTTTGTTTGATGTTCTTCACTTTTGACTGTCTTCAGTACATGAAACCAGAACACAGTCTGTAGATGCTCGATGATGACATTTGTCTAATTACCGGTAAATACAAGGAAAGATAACTCCAACTTACTGGGAGTGTTGAGTTGACACTTTAGTATTTCAGATGTATAGTTTCCAACACTTTGCAGAGAATTGACCTCTGATCAAATTGTATTTATAAAAATGATACAAAAATAAATTTATATTTGGTATCTTAGCAACACATGCCTACATTATGACAGTAATGTGTCTCTGGCAATGCAAGTATTTTTTAATATTCAAGTACTGGTTACTATCCCCACCTCGAGTTTCTATAGATTTGTCCAGGAATAATTTTGCGATATCAGTGAAATCCTCTGGGTTCTAGGCTATTTTACCGTTTTTTTTTAAATCTGTGAAGAAAAAATGTTAATTTTTATATTCTAATAAGCAGACATTACAGGTAGTATAGAAATCTGCTTTTGAAATTCTCAAGTCTACAAAAAATTCGCAGAAAAAAAATTAATTTGAGTAATAATAAAAACATGAAGAGTGATAAGTAACATTTTTATTAAAACCACAATTAATTCATCTCTCAAAAACTAACACATTTTCTTTACTAATAACATATTTTCTAAGCAATTTGTTTTGATGCTAACATAACTTTATCAACTGATTTGCTATTTTAGAGAAGATCGACGCAATTCTTTCTTCTTCCGGCCAGTTTGTGAAAAAGATATATTTTACGAAATGCGTAATATATCAGTCTTGACAGAGTTAAATTATTTTGCTGAATAAAAATTAAACAGTTAAAGGAAGGTGTGTTATCATGTCGATGTTGCCATTGTGCCACGCGTTGCTGGTTTCATTCGAGTTCCGTACGTAGAGACAATCAATAAGAACGCGCCGCGCCACGCATACGTAGGCGATTCAAAACACAACAAACGTTGCTTCGATGCGCCCCTTGATTCTCCTCATTGTTAAATCTATCAGTGGGTATTTCGCATAACTTCAATGCAATTAGTTTAGCATGGAGCGGTATTTATATTTTTGAAGTGTCTACGAGCAAACCAATTACACAAGTTTACTCGCGGCGTCTCAGGGCGCTTACTGGTTGCGTGTAACTAAAATGTCGCTCCAGAATCGACACAGCGTCTTCCCGACGGCGGACGAGAAACACGTTTTCTTTGCGAACCATTCATCGTCAAAAGTGTCGCCATCGCATTCTCCAAGTCATAACAGTAACAATGGAAACACCTTATCATCAGTAAAAACATCAGGTATGTATTTATCAAAATAAGCGACATGTTCTGATGATGATAATAACCATGGACGAATAAGAACACATGAAACGAATTACTTGCAAATACTGTATTTCATTATTTGCATTGTCGTATTAAATGACAAATCATTTATACAATCCATTGAAAATAAACACGAATATGCCTGACTAACTCAAGAAGCAACAGAAAGCAGAAAACTATAGTGTTAAATTACGGAAAGTTTCTACTTTTAAATCCTGTTTATTTCCCTCTGGATATCGTAGTAACCGTGCTCTGGACAAATCCCTTTTTAGCGTTATGGGGCTACTGTGAATCATATAGTTGCGCTCTGCAGAATTAATATATATATACATCGATGGTGGCGCTCTATACATTGTTACATGTATTATAAATTTCCACTCAGGTATGCTGTTAAGCAACAAATTCAGCACAGCGTCTGCCATGACAGGAAAGGACTTGGCCCAGAGCATCTTCCATGCTTCGGGTAATAGCAAAATTGGAATGAAGATGTTTCGTAGTCATAAGGCAATCATGGAGGAACAGAAACGTCAAAGAGAAACCTCAGGATTTGTAATCCATCCTTTTAGCAGCTTCAGGTAAATTTTATTTACACTTTTTTTGTTTATTATAAATGTTGTCACCGTCTCGTAATTTGGTTATTTTTAGCGACGTCATGCAAAGTGTTCCCCGATCCTGTGTTTTCTTCTTCTTTTTTTTCTTTTTTTAAATTTATTTGAGAACTACATAATTTTAATGTGTGTGAGAAATATTCCAGACATTACGCATAATTAATCTGCAGCCGATTGAGTTTGACAATGTTTTGTTTTTCTTCTTAGATCATTCTGGGATGTATTTATGGTGGTTATATTGATATTTACTCTAATATCGTTACCCATTAACATCGCTTTCTACAGCGAGGACATTACCGTTCAATGGACTATCATCAATTGTCTCACCGACACTTTGTTCGTCGTAGATATCATCTTGAACTTCTTCACCGGTGTAGTATTGCAGCATAACGAAGAGGTGAGTAAGGTAGTTTCTAATTATTCACGCTAACTGACCGTGACCAGTCCGTGGGACACAAAAACGCGCCAGCCGCGACATGGGTCCTTTAATAAAGTACGTGGAATCGTAGTTATTAACGACAGTGACAGTTCATAAAATAAATACAAAACAAGCAAAAGAAATGTAAAAGACAATAAGATCCTCAGATTTGTCTCTGCTTGTCACAATTGCTCTTTGAATACCGGGTGTGGATATACATGGTACTGACTTGTAATAAGGCAGCTGTGTGTGATATCACCGTTGTACAAGTATTGCCCGTTTGTTTTCATGTAGATAGAGCTCTCCCGAAAGAAGATTATCTGGAATTACTTGAAGGGATGGTTCGTGTTGGATCTGCTCTCATCGTTTCCATTTGACTACATATACATAGGACTTACTGACAGCGATGACATTTCTGACAACGATTTGGTGTTAACACTTCGAGCGCTCAGGTGAGACACTTTTATCCGAGTAGCAATTTTATTTCTCTATAGAACACGCTTTATTTTTATTACTAAATCAAGACGTTTGAAATTTTTGTTCGTTAGCAACAATTAATGCACATTTTTTAAAAATATTATTTTATGCAAACCTTATAACTGTGGGTCCTTGAGGTTATACAATAGTAAAAATCGTAGCTGTTTTGTTGCCGTCAAGTTCAGAAATCTGGCACCACACCATATAACGAGTTTGTGTTCATCGACCCCCCCCCCCCCACCGAAAGACTGCATCACTCAAAAAGCACATCGTGACTTTCATATGTATACATATGCCCTATTCTTATATAGAGAATGTTACTAAGTCTTACAATAGCTGTGACGCCTTGGTGGTGAAGTCATGTCTGTAGAATTGAGAAAAATGACGCAGGGCTTTCTCTAATGTGCTATTTAATATGCATATGTGCAACCGCGAACATCAACATTCATTTTGATAAGGCGTTGCTCATGCTAATCGGGCAGTTGAGGGTTTGTTGGGGCTGTAAACGGGACTCACAACGAGACGTTCCTTCCAACTGTGCCAGTGGTATTCCCAGCTAACATTAGATATGTTTTTTTCCATACAACCAGGTTAGTCAAAGTAATGAGTCTCTTACGTTTGCTTCGGCTCTCTCGGTTGCTAAGATACGTGCATCGGCTGGAAGAGGTAAGAATTGATTGTCATGGAGCAAAAGTTTTGGCTCGATTTTTTTTTTTCAACTTGAATTTATATTAAGCATCTACTTTTTCTGATGCTCCAAATCTCAGATTGTTCTTTGATTTGGAGCATGTAACACGTCATCGACACGCAACAATTAACAATTTCTGCCAATTTTTAGATGTTTGACATTGAGGGCGCTATCATTCGTATTGTAAATCTGGTCTTAGTGGTGTTAATGCTTACTCACTGGAACGGATGTATACAGTTTCTGGTACCGTTTCTGCTTGGCTTCCCTGATGATACGTGGGTTTCAATTGACAATCTAGTGGTGAGTACACAGTCTTTCGTGAATAGTTGTGTCACCACTTGGTCAACATGTAGATTTGTGCACGAGACATTTTTTTTCTTTCAACAGGTTCATTGACTTTCAATAACGCGAATCAATTCCATTTTGTTTTACAGAACGCAACCAAATGGGAACAGTACTCGTGGTCGTTCTATAGGGCCATCTCGCAGACTCTGAGCATAGGTGTGGGAAGGCGTCCACCAGATTGTTTGGCCGACATGTGGATAACGACACTGAGTATGATGATTGGCGCTACATTCTACGCCCTGTTTATAGGAAACATGTCATCGTTGTTATTATCAATTGATGCATCTGGGCGTCTTTATAACGAACGTGTGAGTTTTGCAACTTGAATTACACCAATAGCAAAACAATAACGTTCAACAAACATTCCTATCAGAAAATTGACGGAAAAATTTATATATATTTTTAAAAAACACAATCTAAATCAATATCATTCTGGGGAAAAAATCTAGCTCAAAACTAGGTGAACGGAAATAAAAAAAAATAGTTTTCTACTTGCCCCTATAGTTTCTAATGATTAACTTCTTATAGTTTAGATGTGTTGGACTACCGCTAAAACTTTGATGAGCACTGAAAACAATAACTTGAAGCAAAAGTAATTGTGAATTTCAAGATGTTGAAACGAGGAGTTCAACATAGCGAGAGAAAAAAAACTGCAAAAATCCGGAATCTGATACTGTAAGAGTGAAAGTTCTGAGTCCTTTTAATAATACCCTAATATTATTTTGTTGTTCAGATTAACCAAGTTAAGGAGTACATGCGTTATCGTAAGATACCAGTGGAGACTCAGCGGAGGGTGATGGACTATTATGATCATCGTTTTCAGCGTAAATTCTTTGATGAAGAATCTATCCTCCATGAACAGAACCATCTTCTAAGAGAGGTGAGAATTCAAATGTGGTGTCTATTTCTTAATTTTTGTCTCAAGGCAATCACCATGATTGCAAGGTT